CGTTATCACCCTCCCCGCCTCTACGTCCCTTTCAACACAGCATCCAGCTGGCACTTCCACATCCCTCAGCTGATGTCATCTATTATAAGACACACCATAGTTTTACATGCCACCAAGAAAGAAAAAAATACTAATTAAACTGCAACTCACCTATGGATTTTGAGACACATTCTGACTGCAGAGATGTTAAAATGTGTTTTAGAATGTCTGAAATCCAGTATTTAGCTTGGTTTCTGTCTTCTAGACCAGCATGAAAGAAGTGAGGATTAAGGGGCACTCTGAAGACAGTGCTGAGTTAACCATAACCAAGCACAGAAAATAAGCATTGGGTACCAGGCATAGTAAGAGCAGGTAGATTATTAGTCTCGGGGCTTTTGGGAGGGTTCCTGGAGGATGCTGAACTGAAAAGATAGGGTCTGAATAGGTGGACGGGAGACGTTAGCTTTCTGTGAGCAATGAAGGGCAATAGCTGCCTTTTGCAGGTGATTCAATTGGAGACTTAAGAGATAGCAGGTGCAGACAGCTTAGAAGGAGTGAAGTAGGGAGACAGAATGTCTTTAGGACAAAATACTAGAGTGGGATGGAAACCAGAAGAGTTTATGAAGCTGGTGTGTTGATAAGAACTTTTCTCATCTTTGTCCGGTAATTCTTTTCGAGGGAGACCTCTGCAGTTAGGGATGGGTGACTTTGCATCAGCTTGGTTTGTTTTTTTAATCCTTAACAGGTTATTTTTTCCATTGATTTTTAGAGAGAGTGGAAGCAAGGGAGGGTGGGGGAGGGAGAGAGAGGGAGAGAGAGAAACATCGATGTGAGAGAGACACATTGATTGGTTGCCTCCTGTATGTGCCCCGATCAGGGGCCAAGGATTGAACCTGCAACCCAGGTATGTGCCCTTAACCCTTTGGTGTAGGGCTGATGCTCTAACCACTTAGGAACACCACCCAGGGACATCAGCATGGTTTTGTCCGCATAAGGAAAGAACTCTCTGCTAATCATTGGACTGTGGCCTCTATCTTGCAGGGAGCCAATATATGGATTCACCCCTTTGATGGAAGCAGCTGCTGCTGGCCATGAAATAATTGTGCAGTATTTTCTGAATCATGTAAGTGACCCTCTTTGTTAGCTTATATTTACTTTACAACAAGTGACGAATCATCACTGAAGATTTTTATATATATATATATGTATATATATATATATATATATATACATATATATA